ATCCCTCCAAAAAGAGAAGACATTATTCTAGGGCCTTTAAAATCAGTGCAGGGGAAAAAAAGACATAGTTCTAGGGGGGTTTATAATTTGAGGGGTCACATTATGGAGGAAGCCGTGATCAGGATGAAGAATTTTAAGCAACCTACGTACAGAAATGCTTTGCGCAGTTTACCAGACAGGTCGCATTTAATAAATTCCGCCATCGGGACTCAAACCCGGGTCGCTCGGGTGAGAGGCGAGTATTCTAACCAGCTAGACTATAGCGGATTCTGTTGAGCGCAAGAGAAAGCCACTGTACCGCACAATGCGCGTGTATTGAGTGTGTGCTGCATGGCATCTTATGGAGGAAGCCGTGACCAGCATGAAGAACTTTAAGCAGCCTGCAGAAATGCTTTGCGAGTTTGCTTCACTACAGGGGCTTGTTTCAAGTTAGTTGTAGTGCTGGAAACGAGGCTCTTTTTTTTCAGAATAATTTCGGGCCGGATTGTTGGGGCTTTATCAGTTGTAGCTCGGCAAACTACGCTGGGAAAAATTGTTTTTGGCTAGCTTTCCTTTGCGTGTTGTCAAATTTGCATGTACTAGCCAAGCTGAGGAAAACACCCAGTCAGAGGAAATGGTGGCTTGCACTTTGTGTAGCGGACCTCAAGCAATAGTTTTCTGAAGCAGCGGTGGCACAACAATGTTGTCATGAAGTCGGATTTTTGCGCGCTTTCCCCGTGGGCAGAGTGGTGCTACAGCCATCAAACAAAGCTGCTCTTCCAGTTCTCACTTAGACCTGGCACAGCTTCCGCTTTCATTCCCCCGCGGACAGGGCGTGCAGAGTGACGCTGGCGAGGTGCTGGGCCAACTCTGGGGACTTCTCCGCGCGCCAGCAGCTGCACAAGTCGAGTGAGGTGGGCTGCAACCTTTTTTCTCCTTTGAGCCAGCGTTTCCTAATTCCATGCTGTAGATTCACTGCAGCCCGTTTTTGTGCATGTTGCACTGGTCCAATCTGAGTTGTGCTGCAAGTGACCAGTTCTCATCTTCCAACTCGCCAGACACAACGCGCGGGCAGCCGACCCGCGGCGCTCTTGCCTGCAGTTCCCACACTCGACACGCACGATCGCCGCAGAGGGTTGCGCACCCTCCACAAAACAGAAAGACTGACAAAAGTGGCAAATATTTTGGATAAGGCCATCTCCTTTTTTTTCTATGCTCACATTTCCATTGTGCAAGTTGGGGGAAGTCAGTGTGCAAGTCCACGACTCAAACTCTTGGGAATTGATTCCTAACATGTTCAAAGAGAAGATTTTTAAGCCTGTGTGAATTTAAATTGATTTTGTGAATTCAACGCCGTCGAACTTGTTCTGAGGCCATGCTTGAGCGACTCCTGCTTGGGCTGAAACCGCCCCACGAACTTCCCTGTCTTTTGGGTCCATCCTAGATGGGTGGGCAT